GAACGTCATCCTCAGCAAACTGACACAAGAACAGAAAATGAAACACCGCATATTCTCACTCATAGGCGAGTGATGAAAAATGAGAACACATGGACACAGAAAGGGGAGTACTAAACACTGGGGTCTGTTGGGGGGAAAAGGGGAGGGCCAGTGGGAGGGGGAGGTGGGGAGGGATAGCCTGGGGAGAAATGCCAAATGTGGGTGAAGGGGAGAAGGAAAGAAAAGCACACTGCCATGTGTGTTCCTACGCAACTGTCTTGCATGCTCTGCTCATGTACCCCAAAACCTAAAATCCAATAAAAAATTTAAAAAAAATAAAAAATAAAATAACATCTGATGGTAGGTAAAAACAAATACTATATTAATCAGAGTAATAAAAATTATATACATACATCATAGGAAATAATGAGAAGAAAAATATCAAACTATTAGAAGTGTTAGCCTCTGAAGAGGGGGTTATAGATTTTTTTAAAAGTGTTAGCCTCTGAATAGGGGGCTACAGTTTAAAAAAAAAAACCCTATTCAGGGGGTTATAGTTAAAAAAAAAACTCATGTTAAGTGAAGCCATTTGAGCTTTCGTGACTGTAAAATAACCTAAACACATCCAAGACTATCTAATAGAGCCCCCACTTGAAAACTCATCTAATCCCAACCTGAGAAAGAGGTTCATAGCAGCAACGCCCAATTCAGCACACGAGTTTTAAGACCAACGGACTAAATGTAAAATTAGGAAAGTTACGCCACTCATTTCCCTACGAACAGGATTTTGGCTGGCTTGTTCATTATGAAACTTAGGTATCTGGAAAGAGGCCATGAGGAAAATGTTATCATCTAAACCCAGACCTGGGCCACTGGTCCAGTGCCTACAGCGTTTCCCAGACCCGGCAATAAGATGGGTTTTAATCATGGCAAAGCCCTCTCCTCCAGGAGCTGCCACAGGCCCGCACTTACAGATGCTCCATCCCCCGGGCCCGGGCTGCCATGTTCCTGGGATAACATCATGATTCATCCGGGTTCCTGCACCTCCAGAGTAGGCCATTTATCTGAGCCTGGCCAGGTGGCACCGGAATGATGACTAGAGAAGGGGCTTCATTGTTCGATAATAATTTACACCAGCCTGGGGAAATACTGTCTGTCTTGTAAAATAATGTTCTGCATGAAGGGAAGCACACAGGTCCTGGAAGATGAAAAACAAACAGAAACAAAACAAAAAGGAGAAGCTGGTCCACATAGGAAATGAATTTAACCTAATGTAAATGGGCACTGACTCAGCATTTCCTGAACTCTGAAGGAACCTTCCGGACACGCAGAAACCCTTTTGCCTTTGTCTTTGGTTAAACAAGAAGCGGGCTCTTGATGAAGATGTGGGGGCCAGGAGTGACTCCAGGGAGCACTGACTGAGGAGCAGGTTGCTGGGGGGTGGGGAGGAAAGAAAACCCATTCAGGGTGTGTTAGAGCAGTTTGCCTTATGGGAAACTGGAGTTTAATCCTGTTGGATTTCGTACATGCTGTGGAACCCGTTTCAGAATTGTTCTAGCCATGGATGAGGAAGCTGGAGTGCTCAGCTCGCCACACTCTCAGTGGAGAGCTGTTCCAAGGTGCATTTGCTCCCTGGCTCTTGTCGTCTGCCCGATGTGCAGGATTAAGTGTGGAGTCACTGGTATTCGCAGTAAGAAGCCTTTGGTTTGCACACAAACAGTGAGGGCTAAAGGGAAAAGGGACGGTCTCTGATGGTGCCTGCAACAGCCCACTGAAAACTCCATGGGCCATCATCATAACGGAAGAGCCGAGACCCCACCTGCCCCAGCCTATAGAAAATGAAACGGTTATGTCAGTTCCTCTTTCAGTTCTTTAATCAAGCAACACATCTCTTCTGAGCACCTTCAGTGTATCCACTGCTCGGTTTCGTCCAGCGGGAGAAACAAATGGAAGGGAAAATGTGATCTTTCCCTGGCTTCAAGCAGCTCATCATGCAGTTGGAAAGGCAACCTCCACAGACCCAGAACAATCTGCGAGGCTGACACTAAGCTAAAGCTGGGTGTGATCAGCGTGGTCGGCCTTTTTCCAAACGAGAAAAATTGTGACCCTCTCCGTGGCCGGGCATGGCATATGGGCATTTCTTTACCATCAGACCCTTCCCTCATCATGCTGAAGCTGGAAAAGCAGGGGACAGCCAGACTCCCTCTCCAGTGAGGCTACTGTTAATTAAGTCCATCAAAGGAGAGCAGCCATCAGTTATGAGTAGACTGGTGTCTGCCTCCAGAGAGAATGTGTCTTAGGCTGGGCTCTCCCAGGAGCAGATCCTGAAAGAAGGATTAGCCAGCCGGTGGTTTGCTTGGGAGGTGATCCCAGAAAGCACTGGTGTGGGATGGGGAAGTGGAAGAAGAAAGGGAAGACAGTAAAAACCAGGTTACTGCTGGGGACCACTAGAGAAGTGGGGGCTTCAGTGCCCTGTGGAATTATGGGACATGATGTAGAAACCACTTGGAGTGCTTGCATCTGAGAGGTGAGAAATCTAAATATTGATCTTCAAGGAAAGAAGCAAGTAGGGAGTCATGGGGTGTCTGGAATAGGGAGTGCAGAGGGGTGGCGGCTGGGAGGAGTTGATGAGGCACTGACAGTGTCTATCAAAGAAGGAAAACCACTTGATTTTTAATCACATTTCCATCCTGACTCAATGAATGCATGTTGGGGATTGCTGCCTAACTCACGATAAACTCCTCTTCTTGGAATGGCCCCAGCGATTACACCGTTGCGTGGCACTGCCTCTCTGGTCTTAGCTCAATTCATTGGCAAGTACCTGCCTCCAACTGGGCCACTCCAACTTTCTCTCTCATGAACTGAAATTTGTTTCAAAGGACTTAAAGTCACTGTACGTGAATCTCCCAGAAAGTCCATAAATTTTTGACTGCCAAGAGTCTCACAGCTGTTCTGTCCCTCCTCCCTCACCTCCCTGCCTTCCTAGGTCATGGTTGTTCAAAGTCTTCTTCTCTCTTCATTCTCTTTGAATAAATTCTTTATTTGTTAGTTGTGAAGAGAACCCTGGTGTGCTTCTGTTGCTTTACATGAATACAATGTTAATATGCATTTATGTGGGCTCAATGTTAAAAACTCTTGTTTTTTGAGATGGAGTCTCACCATGTTGTCCAGGCTAGAGTTCAGTGGCACAATCTTGGCTCACTGCAGCCTCCACCTCCCAGGTTCAAGCAATTCTCCTGCCTCAGCCTCCCCAGTAGCTGGGATCACAGGTGCCTGCCACCACGCAGGGATAATTTTTTGTATCTTTAGTAGAGACGGGGTTTCACCACATTGGCCAGGCTGGTCTCAAACTCATGACCTCATGATCTGCCCTCCTCAGCCTCCCAAAGTGCTGAGATTACATAAAAGCTCTTATAACCTGAATGCAATTATAGCAGTCCAGGTTTTTGTCTAAATCAATAACACTTACCAACTGACTCTCCATCCAGCAGGCATGTACCAATGGGAAATCCTGGCAAAACGGTAAGGCTGCTCAATATTGACAGCAGTGTATCCATATATCCCCCTAGAGCCCGTAGGAAAAAACGCACAATACACATATTTAGTTAGATTTTAATGGGAACAAAACAGTTAATCCCAAACTCACCACTATAAAAGAAATCCGTTTGCCTTTCAAAAAAAAAACAAATGAGAGTTTAAACTGTGAGTTAAGTAATCCTTTGGACAGCAGTACCCACACCTCACTATATTAAATGTTTTTCAATCATCCACTCTGTCCATTATAGAAAAGTAAATTTGCTTAGCCGCTAAATACCAAATGTTCACTTAGAAAACATTATGTGATGAAGAGATTTCCTTTCTTGTGAAATAATTGCCTCAAAGCTGCATAAACACAAAGTGCACATTTTCCAAGGGACCATGGGAATGATCCTCAGCAACTACTCCCCCCGCTGCTGCAGCCCTGGTGCTCCTTTTGATCTGTTTCTTTTGCATGCTGCCCTCTTAGGAAAACAGCCCTCTGTGGGATTTAGATCCAGATTTCTGTTGGGAGCTGTGGCTTTTGCATCCACACGTTTGGTCAATAGTCAGACACAAGAGCTAAGAAGAGAAGCAGGGGCCAGGCACGGTGGCTCAGGCCTATAATTCCAGCACTTTGGGTGACCTCGGCGGGCTTATCACCTGAGGTCAGGAGTTCGAGACCAGCCTGGCCAACGTGGTGAGTGGTGAAACCCCGTCCTTGCTAAAAATACAAAAAAAAAATTAGTTTGGTGTGATGGCACACACCTAGAATCCTAACTAGGAGGCTGAGGCAGGAGAATCTCCTGAACCCGGAAGGCAGAGATTGCAGTGAGCCAAGATCATGCCACCGTACTCCAGCCTGGGTGACAGAACAAGACTCCATCTCAGAAAAAAAAAAAAAAAATAGAAGCAGGAAGAATTCTAGACTGGAAATCAGGAGCTCTGGCATTTTCTTAGAGTCACAGGGTCAGCAGGTATTTTGCTGTAAAACTATATTCTCTCTCTGCATCTCAGTTTGCTCACTGTAAAAGGTTAATCAGAGAGACTTTCTAGTTTCATTCTATGAATTAATGCTTCCCTAGGTCAATGAGAGCTGTTATTTAGTACACGACATCTTGGTGGTTCTGGGTTCCATCTTTAATAACACTCTCCCTCTCTCTTTCAATAATAGTGATGACAGGAACAACTGACGCATGCGTGATGGTCATCACAGGCCAGGCGCCGCTCTCGGCACTTCACAGACTGCCTCATGTGATCCACGCTGCAATTCCTCAAGATAGGGCCTATGACCATCCCCGTGTTAGCGAGGAAGAAACATAGGCTCAGAGAGATGCAGTAACTTGCCTGAGTCACATGTCAAGTAAATGAATAAGTGAGAATTTAAATCCGGAACATACGGCACCAGACTGAACCACTATGCTATACCGTCTCTCTTCTAATAATCCACATCTGGAAATACACTGAAAGTATATTTTCTTTTTTATTTTATATCTTCGGTTTATAATATTTCTCTGGTTTATAGTATTTTGAGAAATATCACAAAGATTTTTTAGAAAATAAGTCAGTGAATCTGTATTAAATACTTTTAGCGCATGCACATGTATATGTTCCAATGTTAGGCACACAGGAGAGAAAGGTGAAGGAACTGGCCCTGTCCTCAGAAAGCTTACTGTCTAATTCAAAGTCTGCCCCATGCAATCTTGACTACATTCCTGTCGGAGCAGAAGTAGGAGGCAAATATCCAGAACTACCATCAAAGTTTACTCGCTATTCTAACACTGATCCTTCATATGTAAGCCATAATGTCTGGCTAATTTTGGTAGCTATGGAGTTTTACCAAGTTTCCCAGGCTGGTCTCAAACTCCTGGGCTCAAGCAATCTGCCTGCCTTGGCTTCCCAACTTGCTGGGATTACAGGCGTGAGCCACTGTGCCCAGCCTGGATCTTCTTTTTGAGGCTGCCTATTTCTGGAACTGCGTGATTCCTTGCCCAGCTGATTGCCATCAGATTCCTGGGAACTACTGGGTGTTGGGTTTCTGGATCTCAGGGCTGGGGGAAGGAGGATGCGGTAATACCCCAGCTGAGCGGTGCACAGGCACTGAATTGGCCCAACTGGGGGCTCTGGAAGTAGCCCCTGCTCCATTGTGACCTCCTGAACAGACCCTCATTCACTCTGCAGTCTGAAAGGCTCTCACCAACTCACCTGCTTGGCCTCCTATATTAATTATTTTCTACCTTAGTCCCTGGATGCTTACTCATGGTGCTTTCTGCTGTGCTGACTGGGGCCTGACCATGCCTTGTCCACTGGAAGACATGTTCCCCAAGGGCAGGGCTGTGTCTTCATCCCCACTGGATATGTCCAGGTTAAACTCTTGCAGAGAGCGTAACTTACTAATTAAGCAACAAAGGAATGAGTGGGAAAGGTGTATTAGGACACTGTGGGTTAAAAGTTAAAAGTCAACCTGAAACTGGCTAATCAACCAAGGCAATCTATGTGATCATGTAGCTGTGAAGTTGAGAGGCAGGTCTAATGTCAGGACCCCAAACTCCATCTCTCCACCTCTGCCTCTGCTTCCTTCTGCGGCTTCTTTCTCAGGCTGGCTCTGGTCACATGGTGACATCCAGCAGTGCCAGGATTCCAATTCGCCAGCTAAGAACCCTCCGGTAGAAGAGACAGAATACTTTTCAGCAATTTCTGCCAATTTGAAGGACCTGACTCTGTCACTTGCCCCGAGATCAGTTAGAAGGCTATTATAACGATGAAGGGAAGTGGAGCTCTGCTTTGAATGGCCCAGCCTAGGGAAGCAGGGAGGCCCACTATAGGCCCAGCCATCTTCTCCACATGTTACCTGTCATGTGAAAGAACCTAGAAAAGCACCCACAATGTATCCTTCACCGTGTATGTTGGGTTTCTGCACATGAAATGTACAGGTAAAAAACTAATGTTTCCTTAGTTTCACTAGTTAGAAAAAGAAAGGATTGCAGAGGGAGGATGGATACCCACTGGTGAAAATGCCAGATGTCTTCCACAGGAGAAAGGAATTGGAGTTAGGACCCAGTAAGTTGCTCAAAAGGGCTTATGCAAGGGTAAGAAGAACAATATGGCCTCATAAGTATCTGAACTGTCCTAGAACAAGACTCTCTTAGAGTAAGATATGTCTTGCGTCTACCAAGCATGTCATCAACGCTCAGCCCAGTAGTTGAAACTAAGTAAAAGAATGAGTGAACTATATATTAAACTGTTTCCCAAGTTCAGGCTCAGTTAACCTGCTGTCTAGTCCATTAACTGCTATAACAAAATCCAACAGCTGGGTAATTTATTTAAAAACGATACATTTATTTCTCATGGTTCTAGAGGCTGGGAAGTCCAAAACCACAGCCCGGCGTGTTGGCTGCCTGGTGTCTGCCTCCAAGGGAGCCTTCTGACTGCTGCATCATTCTGAAGGGAGGAATGCTGTGTCCTCATATGGCAGAGGGAGGAAGCACAAAGGGGACAGACTCCTTCTATCAGTGCCTTTTATAACGGCACCAGATCTCATCTGTGAGGGCTCTACTTTCATGATTTAACCACCTCCTTCTGGACACCCCAACTCTTAATCCTGTTACACTGGCTAGTACATTTCAGCATGAATTTTGAAAGGAACACAAACACTCAAACCACCACACCTGCCTGTAAATGCTATGGGAGAAAGTGTCATTTCCCACAATTTGTCTGTGAGGACATAGAGACTCAGAGTGGGCCCTAAACTCACAGAGCTAGGAGGAGGTGGAAGTGGGATTTGAACCCAGGGCCTCTGGAAGGCCTCCTCTGAATTATCTACATAGGGAGATTGCTGCCTGCCCCTGGTGGCCTAATAGTTACCTACCACACTCGTCACAGAGCTGCTGCCAGCTGCATTGGCACCTCCTCGGCAGGGAAGCTTCGTTTAGTGTCAGCAAGCAGAAATGGCTTATTTGTCCCCTGACAGCCCATACTGTGGCAAAACAGCCTCACTCTCCATTAGAAGGCCAGGAGAGCAAAATCAGGGACTGCTTTAAAAACAAACAGTGTAGCAATAAAGAATCTCAGAAGAAACCCAGTTTTCCCTTTTTTTCTGTCCCTCCTCACTGCTCTGCTCACATCTGTGATCCTCAGAGGGAAGACTCAGCAGTTCAACGTGTACAGAGAGGCCCTCTGAAAGAGCTGCTGCCTCTCATACCCACTGTTTCAGGTTAGCATCTTCCTTCCCAGACCCCAAGACACCCTCTGAAGCAAGAGTCCTGTCTTCTCTCTCCCACTGCTATCATGCACAGAACCCTGGCAAGGGAGCCATTCAAAAGTGCAGGCAAGGCTGGGGGCGGTAGCTCATGGCTCACCCCTGTAATCTCAACACTTTGAGAGGCTGAGGCAGGCAGATTGCTTAAGGCCAGGAGTTCAAGACCAGCCTGGGAAACATGGGAAAACCCTGTCTCTACAAAAAACACAAAAATTAGCTGGACATGATTGATGCCCTGGGGGCAGGCCCTGGGTCCCAGGTACTTGGGAGGCTTAGGCGGAAGATCACTTGAGCCTGGGAGGTGGAGGCTGCAGCGAGCCATGACTGCAAAGCCTGGGTAACAGAGTGAGACCCTGTCTCAAAAAAAAAAGTTCAAAGAAGATATCTGGAAGTAGCACTCCCTCAGCCTGCCCCCAGTTAGCAGGACAGCTGAGATGCTCAGCCGGTGGAAGAAAAAATGCTCAGCCCAGTCAGTGACTGCAGGGAAGAGACTCTGCCAAGCGATTGGACACACACAGCGGGAAAACAGACCAGGCTCCGCCCACAAGAACTGAACCACGCAGCAGGAAAGAAGCACTGGAAACAGTCATTGTGGTGACGATTACAGCATTGCAAACTGTGCATTATGAAGCAGAAGGAGCTGGGTCTGTCCGAGCGTGCTGTCCTAGCCTAGGCGGAGGGGAGAGGTATGAAGACGGGTGAAGGTTGTCCAGGGAGACTTCCCTGCAGAAGGCATGAGAGACAGCACAGCAAAGTGCTGTGAGTTCAAATGCTGGCTTGGCCACTTATGCTTTGCATAATTTTGGACAATTTCCCTCTCTATCAAAAAGGGGCTGTGATAACCATAGTTCCTACTCCCCAGCCTGTTACGAGCATTCATGACTGAGCAGTGGTAAAATCTTTATTTTCTTCTGAAATTCTTTATCATCACACTGTTTTTAAAGCAGTCCCTGATTTTGCTTTCCTGGGCTTCTAATGGAGAGTGAGGCTTTCTTTTTTTTTTTTTTTTTTTTTTTTTTTTTTTGAGACGGAGTTTCGCTCTTGTTGCCCAGGCTGGAGTGCAATGGCGCGATCTCGGCTCACCGCAATCTCCGCCTCCTGGGTTCAGGCAATTCTCCTGCCTCAGCCTCCCGAGCAGCTGGGATTACAGGCACGCACCACCGTGCCCAGCTAATTTTTTGTAATTTTAGTAAAGACGGGGCTTCACCATGTTGACCAGATCGAGAGATCTGTTGACCTCGTGATCCACCCGCCTCGGCCTCCCAAAGTGCTAGGATTACAGGCTTGAGCCACCGCGCCCGGCCGAGAGTGAGGCTTTCTCTTCTAATGGAGAGTGAGGCTATTTGGCCATGAGGAGCCAATGAGGGTCCTGGCACTTCCATGCTGCAGAAGTTATTCAATGACGTCAGAACTCGCTTAAGCAGAGGGCTGAAGGTTGATCTAGAACAAGAAAGACAAGAGTGAGGAGAAGGTTCCAGGCTGAGAGGACAACACTTTGAATGTTTCTCTCCTCCAAAGCTTATGTTGAAATGTAATTGTCAATGTAATGGTCTTGGGAGGTGAAGCCTTTAAGAGGTGGTAAGGCCGTGAAGGCTCTACCTTCATGGGTGGGCTTAATACTGTAAATAAAAGTGCTTTCGAGGGTGGGCTCTTGCTCTCCTCTTTCATTCTTCTGCTACATGAAGAACACTGTTTTCCCCACGCTGGAGGATGCAGTGTCCAAGGTATCACCTTGGAAGTGGAGAGAGGACCCTTGCCAGACATTGAACCTACTGGCATTCTGATCTTAGATTTTCCAGTCTCCAGAACTGTAAGAAATACATTTCCATTATTTATAAACCACCCGTCTCAGGTATTCTGTTATCGCGGCACAGAACAGGCTAAGACACGGGCTTGGAGAGAGCCATGCGATGGGGAGGATGGGGAAGGACGGGTACATGGCACGTGGGACCTCAGAGGCTGGGGAGTGGATGCTCCAGTTCATTCCAAGGACAAAGTGAAGCTTCTGAAGGGTCTGAAGCAGAGGGAGCCGTGATCAGAGTTATGGCTTAGGAAGGTATAGCTAACTGTGACATGGGGACAAGTGGAAGAAGACACCGTCCAGCTGAGCTTTCATTCTGGCTTACTGTTGTCCCTACTGGTAGCTGAGAGTGAGTGAGGTTATCCTCTGGTTTCTGGATAGGTGTTTATCCAACTGGACAACGTCGTGGTCAGCCTGGCAGTGTGACTGTGTCTCAGCTGGAAGCATTTCTTGGTCCCCTCCACGGTGGGTAAAAGCTGGGACAGCATCCCCAGGTGCAATATGCATGTCAAAAGCCCCAAGGGAAAGGTCAAACTCTGTTTTGCATCCTTGGGTCCTAAGTCCATCACAGACCTTTTTGTCCACTGCTTTCTGCAGAGCGGGGTCCAGTGAAACAGGATGGTACCATTTTACATGGGCTTCGGAACTTGGTGAGAACGACCTGCTCCAATCCTGTTACAAATCCCCATTGCGGTGAAGGCAGGATAGAAGAAGTAGAAATGTTAAAAAGGAACAGTGACATTCTATAGCGGGCCAAAAAGCAAGACACTTTGACTCACTTAAACGTACTTATTTAATATAAATATAGCAGAGGAGAGAGTTACAAGGACCCTAGGAACAAGGAATACCGCTATTTTAAACGTATAGCACCAGAATGCAAGTGATTTTTACTATCTTGGTTCCATTACATGTGGCTTCACAATGTCAAGTGGAGAATGCCTAACACTAAGGCATCAGCCTGACCTGAGATACACATTTTGTGTCAAGTTGCCATAAACTCGTGGGTCTAATTTCTAAGATGTAGCATGTTTGGTGATTACAAGTGTGGGGAGGGGTCTCTTCAGGGTCCCTGGCCTTGCTGGGTTTCTGTCCACTCCAAAGTGCATTTATTTCAATGAGGCACCTCCTCAGCCTATGACCAGTTCTGGAAATGGATATAGATGAACTCACAAGCCTAAATTAAAAGTTAAAATTGTGTTTGAATGTTTATCACTTTTCTTCTCACCAGTTAAGGTCAGTTTTTAAAGATGTAGGTGCTCCCTCTAGCTCTCACCAAACTCCTTGGAAAGGTGGCTCTGGGGACATGGCACAGCTCAAGTCAGATGTCACCTGATTGCTATGGTGCAGTCAAGCTGGAGAGGCCCTGCTCAGTACCCAGCTCCTCTTCCTGCCAGGGAAAGCCCTGTCCGATCCTGCACTCTGGCATGGGGAGATGCTGTGCATTTCAGGATTTGCACAAGTATTTCCTCATTTGCCATTCAGGTCACACAGCATCTCACACCAAGTCAAATGGGAAACTGTCTATGAAATACTTCATTAAGAAAACCTCATCATCTCATTTCGTGACACCAGAAGGATGATGATAATAAATGATTTATAATGGGGGGATCTGAAATATTTAGATAAAATGCTTTGGTGATGTTATTACATCAGATCGTTTTTACAACTGCTCAGGCTTGAAATACCCCTGACCTCAAGGTGTAATAACTGGATACCAAACTTCTTGCTCAAAAGGCTGTAAGCAGCACCTCTTCATTAATTTCAGCTTCCACCTAGGCCCATTCTGTTGAGCCAAGAACACATCTGTAATGAGAGAGGATAGAGAAGGGGGTAAAGGTTATGTCTACAAGGCCTGGGGATGTCTTCTCCCTCACTCTGCTAAAAAAAAAAAAAAATAGGGAAGTTTCCACTCAGTGTAATAAAGAGCACCTGAGCCTCACGGCTGCCCATCGATGGAATTAATTGCATTAGAGGCCTGCTAAATATATTTTGGAAAACAGGCAATAGCTGCCTCCAAAGTCCCTCTTCACTCAGAGATTATGTGATTATTTAATTCTTTCTAAGTATTATTGAACACGACACACTTATCAATCCTGGAAAAAGATAAAAATGACCAATGATTGGAGACTGGTTGCACGGTTAGCACTATAATAGGTGCAGGAAAGGGAAATGGTTACAGAGACCAGACACCCCCCGGCTTCAAGAGGATGGCAACCAACTGGGATATTTTCTTTTCCTCTTAATAAGAAGGTAATTGGGTTGGGTGCAGTGGCTCATGCCTGTAATCCCGACACTTTGGGAGGCTGAGGTGGGTGGATCACCCGAGGTCAGGAGTTTGAGAACAGCCTGACCAATGTGATGAAACCCTGTATCTTCTGAAAATACAGAAATTAACTAAACACTGGGGTCTACTGGGGGGAAAAGGGGAGGGCCAGCGGTGGGGGGCGGAGCTGGGGAGGGATAGCCTGGGGAGAAATGCCAAATGTGGGTGAAGGGGAGAAAGGAAGCAAAACACACTGCTATGTGTGTACCTATGCAACTGTCTTGCATGTTTTGCACATGTACCCCCAAACTTAAAATGCAATAAAAAATTTAAAAAAAAATACAGAAATTAGCCAGGCGTGATGGCGGGTAACTGTAATCCCAGCTACTCAGGAGGCTGAGGCAGGAGAATCGCTTGAACTCGGGAGGTGGAGGTTCCAGTGAGCTGAGATCACACCATCGCATTCCAGCCTGGGCAACAGAGCGAGACTCCATTAAAAAATACATACATGATCAAAGTGTTTAATCATATAGGAAACTCCACTGGAAAAGCAGATTCCACAAAGAAAAGAATTTCCTGGTTTTGGCATATGTGCCAGGAAACAAAAGAAAGTAATTGGAACCGAGTTTCCACCTGCTTCTAGGACTCTTCACCTTCTGCGCCTCCACCACACTTCTGTTTCATGTGTCACCAGGACCACACCCAAGTTTGGTCCAAGGAGAGGCCCAGGCCTCAGTCTTAGCCCCCAACAGTTGAAGATGGCAGTGAGCAGAAGAAAGGCACCAGGCTGAGCTCAGTCATCAGGAAGCAGCATCATCCATTCAAAGTAACAAAACCAGCTTGCGGTGGGGCTGAGCATCTGACCAGATCAGCAGAGCTAGCCAATTTTCCCACCTCTGTTCCTCAGTTGGGCTTGCTGGCCTTTGGCTGGATCCCAGACTCCAGAAGACTGCCTGTGAGCTCACCTTCTGCTGACAGCTGTACTAAATCCTAGATGACTCTGACAATCTGGTCACAGCCATAAATTCATATCACCTGTAATCCCCAGGCCCAGCTCTCTTTCTTTCCTGTTCATTTCTTTGCCTACTGGTTATTAAGGAGCTGACACTCAGTATTAGAACCATGCAAACGGCAGGCATTCTGTGTGGAATCCAAACAGAAAGGGGCGTTAGAGATGTCAGAACCAATGGGATTCCTAACGCGCGTCAGTCTCACGCTCTGTGCAGCTGGATTATAATCAGAGGGTTTTGAAAAAGACAGAACTGAAGATGAGATTGACATACGATTTGAAACATTTCGCTCATTGACAAAGTCCCAACGGCACCACTTGCCAATATGCACATCCAACCTTACTAATGATCAAAGGAACCAAAGTCCAAATCATCAGGGCTGACATCCAGAAATCCTCATACCTTAACATGGAACTGTGAATTGGTTCAAGTAACAGAAAAGGTAAGCTACGGTGGCCAGTGCTTTACATCAAGTCCAGTGGGCTCTGAAGGGCAGGTACTAAAACTAGTAATTCTTTAAGATTTATTGAGTGCCTACTATCTGCCAGGCACTCTTCCATGTATTAATAAGTATCATTTTATATAATTGTCACATCATTTGTATGAGGAAAGCACTCCTGTCATCTCATGTTATGGAGGAAGAAGCTGAAATACACAGATGCTCTCATAACTTATAAGTCAGAAAGGTAGGGAGTCAGGCGACTGGAATTTCACACTGAGCAGTGTGACTCCCTAGCTCACGTTCATAAATATGAATCTGTGTGTGTGTTAAGCATCACATTTTGACATTCATTTTCTCAAATTCTAAATGAATTACTCATAATAAGTGACTTAAAGTGGCCAGTCATTTCACACCGGCTATTTTGCTGCTGCCTTCCCCAGGCCCTGCTCTCGCCCTGTCCGCCACCTCATCTGTGATAGCTGCTATCTTCCGAAGTGGGGCAGGATCTCAGGTCTACAGCTGCCGTAGGCATCAGGGGAAGCCCCGAGAACTCCAGCCAGAACACAGGAAATCATAAGGCCGTACTTGTGTGCACCAGCCATGAAGCAATACTACCTCGAGAACTAGGGCAGACTTGGGTTTCATCTACACTCTCCCATTGATTCCTGGGTAACTTTGGCCAAATGGCTTCATCTTTCTAAGCTTCATATTGGTCATCTGACAAACGAAGCTCTTCAAATCAGCTTTCGTTGTGATAATCCCGGGTAACAAACATCTCTTAAATTTCTGTGGCTAAAATCACATGCATTTAAATCTCATTCATGGATGGGCTACTGCTCATCAGCTACTGCTTGGCTGGCTAGGCTCCAGAGTGACACCTGGGCTTAGGGGTGTCTCATACGTCTCTTCGCTCTGAGCCCAGTGACAAGCTGGGCATGCTCATTTCATGGCTAAGGGCAGAAGGGAAACAGGACGGGCGGAAACTCCACACATGTGTTTAAAGCCTCTGGCATGTACCTGTTCATTTCACAGTGGCTGAGCAAGTCATATCGTTAGGGTCCAAGGCAGGACGGTGACACTGTGAACTGCTCACAGTGAACCAAAACTGGGAAAGGGAGGGAATGAAGAATTATGAAGAAATATTACCAACGAACACAGAAAAGTGGATTAATATTATTTTAGTAGTTTTACCTACACAACAGAAAAAAAAAAAGCAAAAAGAGGCATGACCATATTAACCTATCCAAAAATGTCAGCTTTGTTTTGGAAACGCTCTGCCTATAGTAGAGCGCAGAAGTATTTTATGCTGTATGTGGTGGGGACAGTGTCTTACTCTGTATCAGAACAATTTGTAATAGGTTCATTCTTTGATACAGTCATTTTTAGGAGCTTCCAGGAGTGTATTTTAAATAAATAATCAGAAGCATAAAAGTATTCATATGTAAAGATGCTCATCAAGGCAAGTTTTTATAATAGCAAAAAAATAAGAACACTGCGTCCATAAAGAGAAGGTGTAAAATCCATACAAGGGACGATTACGTAGTTAATTTTTAAATGCTATTTTTCTAAGACTATCTATGGAGACAGAAAAATGCACCTAATACGATGATAAATACGTAAATCAGAATGGAGAACTAGAAAATAGAATCTCACTTTTGTAAAGCGTGTGACTGTGTCACTGAGAAATGACTGGAAGAAGGTTTAACAATGCTAACACTGGCTAGCTGGAGATTATAGACAGAGAATGCAGAATGACTATTTAATTTTTCCTATTTTTTTTTTTATGCTTCCCAAATTTTTCACAGAAAAAGAAAAGTAGAAAGAATGCTTTTAGGCCAGACACGGTGGCTCACGCCTGTCATCCCAGCATGTGGGAGGCCAAGGCGGGCGGATCACCTGAAGTCAGTAGTGCGAGACAAGCCTGGCCGACATGGTGAACCCCCATCTCTACTAAAAATACAAAACTAAAATAATAAAATAAAATGGAAGAATGTTTTTAAACTGCTACGCTGGTCCATGGGATGTTTCAACTGTGGAGGTTCCCAACCAAACCCAGCTAAGAGTTTGGACCACACGCCCTAGAACTGAGAATTCCCAGGAAACACGAGCGCTGCTGCAGCTCACCGCCGTCTAAATCTCCACCCTCTCATGATAAACAGTCGATACAAACGGTATGCATACCCACCACTGAATCCACAGTTCTATCAGGAAGACACCACGGCCTATTGGCAATACTGATGGCCTAAAGGCTGTTCAGTGCTGATGAAGCAGGATGAGATTTCATTTCATTTGATTATTTTCTAGACCTTGAACATTGCGTGTGGGCAGGAATCTACTTACCTTGTTTGTGAAGAGCTTTGGGAAACGGAGTGGAGGCATCTAATGATGGAGAACTAGGGTTCCCATCCGGGTACTCATTAATTAGGCAAAGTGATGCTTTTGGGGCCTGCATGACTTAGAAGCAGGCATTTGACTTATGACATGAAGAGGACAGTCAGGACTCAACAGCCGCTAGATGCCAGGTTCGATGTATTCCCTCAGAAAGGTCAGGAAGCCAGGCGCAGTTCCTGGAGCCTCAGATCCTATCTGAGCTTTTTCTAGGGGGAAAGGTGCCCCTCCTCTGCTCTCCAAAAGCCACATGGCCAATGCTTTTAGCCCCCAGAATTTGACCCACTTATAGGCACTTTCAGATAAACATCAGGCAGGTGCTCTCTGGGCAAGATTTCCACAAACATTTTCCTACTGTTAACTAGCTTGCAACAGAAATTGGGTGATTTGTCCCAGCGCCAGACCTATCAGGACAGTCTTTCTTTACAATCTCAACTGATCTGAACAAATCTGTTCAGGTCCCTCTTTCTGGATGGAGACTTCATGTACTGGGTTTCTTCTGCCAGGAGCACATCTTTACTTTCAAGTTAAAAACACTGAAAAATGGGTTTCATAATGGGAAAGCTGACAGAGCCTCAGCCACTGAGACTCAAGCCATCACCAGCCTTACTCTGCCAAAGATATTTATTATGATTTCCTCAAATAGCCACGCTTTAATACCTGTCATGTTGTTTCCTTACAAGGATGAGGGCTGTGTAGTCTTGATTGCAAGCTGTCTTAGTTGTTGTGATGACTTGTTCCAGTGAGGCGGGTGCTTGGAGACAGAGCCTCGCAACTGGGATTCTGCACTGAGCTCCCCGGTGGAGAGAAACAGACGTGGCCACTGCTTTAAGCCCCCATTGCGATGCAGGGTGTGGAACTGTGCACTCTGGACATGAGTAGGAAGAACCCAGGCCTTCTGCTGCTCCTTCTGGGCATCCCCAGACATACCCGGGCTGATGGGAAAACTAGAAGTACCTCCAGGATGCTTGCTTCAGAGTCCCGATCCCCAGGCCTGGAGGCCTGGCCACTCACATGCCCTCCACTCTCTGACAACTCCCACAAATGCTCTGTGGAGGAGAACTTCCCAGCATGGTCATCTCCTGGAGGGCAAGGCTGAAAGCTGGAATCCCCATGACATCTCCACACGCTTCTTTGCACATTTGCTGCCTGGCGCTGTTCTCAGCTATTGACATGGATAAAGCTGCCGGGCTGGCTCCAGAAATGTGGTTGGAGATGTCTTCCTCCCTTGAGAGGCATCGACAGAGGCCACCTGGAACAACCTTTGAAAACTCTTTGTTGAAATTGTATTAACTCAAATTCTTTCCAAGTCTTCTCTGCCAACACTCAGCACAGAGGGCCACTTCTCTTCCTTCACGAGCCCTGACAACATTACTCCAGGTCCTCTCCACCCTGCCTCACCCCAAATGCCCCTCAAGAGATGAGTCTTTCAAAAGCCAAGGGTTTCACAGAAAGCCTAGCGGGCCAGCGCAGCTGCTGCTGCCTTTCCTTCTGCACAGCCCGAGACCGCTCTCTTCCATGCTCCCTGCCCTGCTCACAGGACACCTGCATTCCACATCCTGTGTCCTCCATCCTCCGGGGACTCAGGCTTTGAATGCTGCCTTCTGTGGTTCCCTTCCTCTGTGCAAGGGAGCATTCCATCCAGAGCCAGACTGGACCCCAGCCTGCAAGCAGACGTGGAAATCCTTCCTGCGGAGCCAGACACCAGACACGCGGGAGCTCAGGCCTTCTCAACAGGACTTTGTCTTAGAAAACACTAAGACCTATTACAGATATTAAGCAGTTATTGAAGAGGGGCCTCTGTGTGCTCTGCTGGAAAAACTCGTGGAACATCATTGATTTGTGAGGATAGCTGCCTGCCATGTGGGTGGGTTTGGGTGAGTCCCCTGAGATTCCAGTGGCAGTGATTGGAGATCCCAGAAACAGGTGGCCTGCCCCTGCCTAACTCTTATCCAGGGAGTCCTTTTGAAAGACAAGACAGACATGGCACATGTCAGTGCTACTGAGCCAGCACCAGGAAGGAGAGCCCTTATGAGTCCATCAGAGTTCCTGAAAGCCTGTGAAGGCACCCACAGGCTCCTGATCGAATCTTCCCTTGGCTCCCAGCTAGCACCAGGCAGAGTGTCCTTGCAATGGAGGAGTCTCTGAGTGATGCTGCAGGGTGCAGACAGCATGAGGCAGGAGGTGTCTATGATGCCCCAGCTCCCTGACCCCAGGGCAGAGGTGTGACCTTAAAGACTGTGGGTAGCAGGAACCCAGGGCTTCTGCTGCTCCTCCTGGGCATTCCCTAGACACTGACTGGGGCTGATGGGAAAACCAGGAGTACCTCCAGGCTGCTCGCCTTGGAGTCCCCATCGCCTAGAGGCCTGGCCACTCAGGTGAGCTGAGCCTCTTCCCACCAGATTCCCGAGCAGCGGCTGCACCTCTGACTTTTCCACCCATCTGCACCCAGAGCTGGAGCCCAGCCTAATTCTCAGTTGGCCATATTTGTCTCTGATCTCTGAGTCCCACTTCCAACCCACGTCTCTAACTCCTATGGTACATCCCAGACAGAATCTGATACCCAATAGGGCTGAGTGTGAAATCCACTAGGGCCCTAGATGCTGACCCCAAGATGATGGCAGTGCCTGCACACCTGGCATGGAGACAGCGGACACCAGGCCACATGCCCCTAAGGCTGCAGGTCCTGCACCCACAGGGGGATGTCACCACAATCCTTGTGCCCACCCCCTGCCATTTCTCCATGCAGCTTTTACCTGATTCAGGTCACGGATAGAAAACACACCGGCGTTCATCAGTCAGCAGGTGTGAGGGAGTTGGGGGTCCTGTGTGAGCCGGGACTCTGCCCAGGGTCCTGAGGTAGCTGGGAGTCCTATGTGAACTGGGACTCTGTTCCTAGCAGGCAAAAGCTCACAGCTGACCAAAGAGAAAACTGAGTTTCAATTTTTAATTCATAGGTAAAATCCACTAGAGCAACACAATTTATTTTCAGAAGTTGTATAATTTCTGAGTGCAACGCAGTCATTGACTGGCTGTCTCCCCACCTTGTCAAGTGTGAGCCTTTGAGTCAGTTTTAAACACAAATTCACTGCATTTAACATTGTATTCTAGTGGCCTTTCCTCCCAGGCATTTTAAGTAGCAGATCTCAAAGCCCTTCTGAAGCAATTTTCCACCCTCATCTCAGAAAAGGTGCCTGTTATTTTTTTAAAGGAGCAGGGAGCACTGTCGTAGGAGTCAGATCACCACTCGTAGCCTGATAGCTTCAGCATCTCAGAGCCTCAGGTTTCCCATCGGTAAAATGGGGCTGTTCCCAGGAATTAGTATTATAGAAACTACTATTTAAATTACATTGAGTAGCTCACACCTGTAATCCCAGCACTTTCGGAGGCCAAAGCGGGTGGACCACTTGAGGCCAGGAGTTGGAGACCAGTCCGGCCAACATGGCAAAACCTCATCTCTACTAAAATACAAAAAATTTGCTGGGGCCGAAGCGGTGGCTCACACCTGTAATCCCAGAACTTTGGGAGGATGAGGTGGGTAGATCACGAGGTCAGGAGTTCAAGACCAGCCTGGCTAAGATGGTGAAACTCCATCTCTACTAAAAATACAAAAATTAGCTGGGCGTGGCAGTGGGCACCTGTAATCCCAGCTACTCCGGAGGCTGAGGCAGAGAATTGCTTGAACCTGGGAGGCGGAGGCTGCAGTGAGCCAAGATCACACATTGCACACCAGCCTGGATGACAGAGCGAGACTCCGTCTCAAAAACAAAAAATTAGCTGGGCATGGTGGTGAGCAACTATAATCCCAGCTACTTGAGAGGCTGAGCACATAAGCACTTGAACCCAGGAAGCAGAGGTTACAGTGAGCCAAGATTGCGCCATTGCACTCCAGCCTGGGTGACAGAGTGAGACTCTGTCTCAAAAATAAATAAGTAAGTAAGTAAATTATATAGAGTGAACTTTGAAGGTGACCAGTTACAGTAGAATTCCCCTTATGTTCAGGAGAATACCTGACACTTGTATTTAAATTTTTGATATTTTAATATTCAAATACTCCCACGAGCCAAAAGGAAATGTTGATGAGCGTAGCCACTAGACCAAGACCACAGAGAGAGGTGTGGTGTGGGTAGAATTAGAACAGCTTGCCCAGGCTAAATACACTGAAATCCATCTTCCTTTTCTGAGCTGTGAAAGAAAAACCGAATTTCAGGACCTGAAATTCACTCTGCCAAAGGGAAGGTTACGCTTGGAACCCAGTCATGCAAAAACTGCCTTCCTTTTGTTCCCAGATAGCTTACTTCACGTGCTTGCTTACGTAAAATGTAGATTTACTGGGCATCAGACAAATGCATCATTGACCACCCCTCCCCCCACCCCCGCTGCCTTCCTTTTCACATGCGAAATGTACGTTCACCTAAGCAGGGATCCGGGCTTTTCACGAAGATAATGCTGGGCTCATTATCTACTCTCCCTCCTTTTTTTCATTTTTTCTTCCCCTCCCACTTGATCTCTCGCCTTTAAATATCGAAGCTTCTGGAACCCTCTTTGAAAGAAACACAGGCCACAGATTCTACTGGGACTTGTGTTTCTCCTTCCTGTGTGCCCTTCAATCTGGCCAGACAAACCTCCATCCACTGAGACATGCTACTTTGGGTTTGCGATGCCGTGGGACTGGATTCCAAAGGGGCCTCTGCCTTATGACTGTGCCTGCACAACGACTGTAGGGTGTCCCCGCTACTGCCTAAATCTTGCTTACTTTTAGGGTTTGTTTCTTTTTGTCTTAGACCCTGAAAACGCCTTATTACCATTGGCAGGTGGAAGTTAGATACCTGGGATCTTTAAAGGTGAGAAGCTTAATTTCGATCCAGGAAGTCTGAGAAAGTAGAAAACGTCCAGACATGCCGGGTAGCTCAGATGTCAGAAATACTCTTGAATCCAGAACTAAAGTGCATCAAAGACTTTCTTCCTGTTGACCTTTACAAAAAAAAAAAAGACTTTTTGGGATGCAGGCAAATCTTTGGCAGTGAGCAGGAGAAGCCCACATGGTGTCTTTTCTTTTTGAAGATAATCACATTTTCTAGTTAACGTGCCCTTGCTTTGCTGTTTTCTTTTCCACTAACGGTTGAACTCACAGGAAACACACCCACAGCGGGGAGAGCCCCGGGTCAATGTTGCAGACGCCTCACAGACACTACCCATGGATAAAGTGGCCTCTCATCGCCCCGCTCCCCTTTTCTCCCATTTCTACAAGAGCAGTGGCAAAGGTCATGTTCTTATATGGTTTTTTAAAATCCACCTTCCCTTGGGATCAATGCTGAAGTGTGTCACCAAATCGTGTTGCTTTTTCAACAATGCCCCGCTCCACATTCCTCTCGGGGCCTTTGCCCGGCCTCCTCCTGGTTGCTGTGGTTCAAGAGGAATGTGGATGTGCCCACAGAAGCAAATGGCAGTGGAGAAGGACTCAAGGTTCAGGCGTCATCACCAGGAGCCCGCTATTGGCCTCCCGCATGGCAGCCTCATTCTCCCAGGATGGCTCCGGCCAGAACAGGAAGCTATTTATTGACAGCACAGAGACTGTGTTCTTCACCATCGACTCCATTCAAAACATGATTGTCCTAAATGGCTCAAGTGCTCGCTGTGGATCAACCACTGTGTCCAGGAGTAGGTGGAAAGAAAGCCTAAAAGGCAGGTCCTATGTATAACAAGAAGGTCTCCTAGAGGCGCTGTTGGAAGGAGCATTTCCCAAGGGGTGGACAAAGAATTAATGTCTGCTTGGCTGGTCTCCAGCCATGCTCCCCTGCACCGTCCTAGAGAGGTCAAATCTGTGGGGATGGGGAAGGTCAAAATGAACCAGTTTTTCTCCAGCAGAAACCAAGAGCACTGCTTACACAATGCCACCTATTACTCAGGGCACAAATGGCAGGTGTGTAACAAGAGCACTGCCCACACGACACTTACCTATCACTCATCTATCACTCAGGGCATCAGCGGCAAATGTGTAAGAGGTGGGTTGCAATGTCTTGGAAAAGACTGGACAGCAAAAGCAGTTAAACCCCTGATGGGGATCCGGGCAGGCAGGATGTCCCCTATGAGAGGTCACATTGTCACATAGGGGAAAGGAGCCCTGGACTGATGGAGCGCATGTGCAAAAACCACAGGGCCAGCTCACAGAAGAGCTGAGATTAAGCTACTAGGTTAGAGGGTGCTTGATAAGGTTTGAATATTCGTCCTTTCCAAATCTCATATGGAAATTTGATCCCAATATTGGAGGTGGGGCCTGGTGGGAGGGGCTTGGGTCATGGGGGCGGATCCCTCATGAATGGCTCGTGCCTTCCTTGCAGCAATGAGTTCATGTAAGAGCCGGTTGTGCAAATGAGCCTGGCGCAAGGTTGTGTGGGAAAGGGAATCCCTGCACACTGTTGGTAGGAGGGCAAACGAACTCAGCCATGGTGGAAAGCAGTGTGGCAATTCCTCAAAGAACTTAAGCAGGGCTACCATTTGACCCAGAAACCCCATGACTGAGCATAATCCCAAAGGAAAATAAATCATTCTACCATAAAGACACACGCACATATGTTCACTGCAGCACTGTTCACAATGGCAAAGACACAGAGTCAATCCAAGTGCCCATCAACAGTAAACTGAATAAAGAAAAGGTGGTCCAGATGCACCATGGAATATTACGCAGCCATGAAAAATGAGCTCATGTATTTGCAGAAACATGGTTGGAATTGGAGGCCATTATCTGATGTGAATTCATGCAGAAGCAGAAAACCAAATTCCGCAAGTTCTTCTTTATAAATGGGAGCTAATTGATGAGAACCAATGGGCACAAAGAGGGGAACAACAGACACTGGGGCCTACTTGAGGGTGGAATGTGGGAGGAGGGAGAGGACTAGAAAATCTCTATAGGGTACTGTGCTCATTATCAGAGTGATGAAATCATCGTACAGCAAACCCCGATGACACACAGTTTATCTATACAACTAACTTGCATGTGCTCCTGATCCTAAAATAAAAGTCAAAAATAATCACACGAAAAAGAAAACAAAGAAGAAAATCAAAGAGCCTGCCACCTCTCTTGCTCCCTGTCTCGCCATGTGCGATGCCAGCTTCCCTTCCCTTCTGCCATGAGTAAAAGCTGCCTGAGGCCTCCTCAGAAGCAGATGAGGGCACCACGCTTTCTGTACAGCCTGCAGAGCCATAAGCCAAATACACATTTTTTTTTAAATAAATTGCCAAGTCTCAGATATTTCTTTATGACAAGACAAAACAGACTCATGCAGCTTCCCAGGAGGTTTCGCAGAAAAGAGAAGGAAAGCGAGGAGGCCTGGGAATGGGCAGATTGTCCCAGGCAAAGGGAGGAGCAAAGAGACACATTCATAGGGGAAGGTGAATGAATGAACTGGTTAGTGGGGTTGGAGAAAGGGGTGCTTCAGGCAGTGATTGGCAAATAGAATGCTGTCAAATGTGCATGCAAATAGAAAATGCATGCACACATACATGCACACACACACACACACACACATGCACACACACACACACCCCTCGGGTAGCATGCAAGCGTTACCTTGGCCTGACAGTAGATCCCAGGAGCTGCCTTCACCCCGAGGAGCACAGCCTTTCACCTCCGCCCTTTTCCATTGCAATTCCCTGCCTTCCAGCAAGTGTCCGAAGCCTGCTTAACATTATGCGAGGCGGGCTGTCAGTGTGAGAGGCTCCAGCCTGCTGCAGGGGCTGCCTCTCGGGAAACAGAAAACAAAGCCAGAGCCTTAAAAATAGAGCTGTCCGCTGATGGAATTCTCTCCTGCTGCCGTGACCAAATATTTAGTCACAGGGGAAATGTCTGATCAGACACACTCCCAGCAAGGTCAGGAGGAGCTCAGAGAACATGCACTGAGGCAGGCTGCCGCCACTGGCTCCCCTGGCCCCCGGACCCTCTCGGGCCCCACGGGAGAGGAAGGGAGGGCCACTCCGGTGCCAATCTGCAACCACAAAGCATGCCTTTGCTCTTAACGATGCTGGATACCGGCCTAGCCCTGAAGTCAGCTGCTTGCACAGACAACATTTATTCATTCAGACACAAATGAGATCAGTTCTTATCCGAATCACAGGTCAATAGGATTTGGGAAGCTGCGGCGTCCCAGAGATTATATTATTTTAAAGACTGCAGAGTTAAATACAGGGAGGTTCCAGAGGGAGGATTTGGTTGTCACACAGATGTCCACCCCTCCCAACACTGCACCGAGACACCTGCCTGGTCCAATTCTCCTGTTGTGTCGCCTCACACTGTCCACTGCCCAGGCAGCTTGCCTGGTTCTCTTGCAAGAGTGGGGCCTGGAGCCTGGTGTCCTTAGCTGCTGCAGGGCCTGGCACACAGTTGGGGCTCCATGAAACCCCAGAGGGAAGGGATGGAGAGCAAAGGAGGCCATGTGTCCCAAAGGGGGACCCTGGGGGAGTGGTCCTTTCCTATCTGCCACTGGTGCCTAAAAAAGAGAGAGCAGAAGACCCCAGCCCCAGACAGTGCATTGCTCTGAGCCCAGGGCCTGTCCCTCTAGGAAGACAATGTGGCCACCATTGGCCCACAGGCACTGCCTCAGCTGGGTCCGCTTCTGGCTCTTGGTCTTATTCTCTGGAAGCCCCCACGGGTCCTACCTCACACTGTTCTTGGTGCATCATTCCCTGTGGGTATTTGCCTTCTGAGGGGAAGAACAGCAGGGGAAGAACAGCGGGATGCCACCCCCATGTGTTGAACTGAGCTGATTTGTCACTTTGTAAAATGCTTTAGGCAGGCATGGTGTTGTGCTTGTGGTCCCAGCTACTCGGGAGGCTGAGGCAGGAGGATCACTTGAGCCCAGGAAATGGAGGCTGTGGTGAGTCATTATTGCACCATTGTACTCCAGCCTGGGCCACAGAGTGGGACCTCGTCTCAAAAATAAATGTAAGATGATAATGCAGGCTGGGCACGGTGGCTCATGCCTATAATCCCAGCATTTTGGGAGGCCGAGGCGGGTGGATCACGAGGTCAAGAGATCGAGACCATCCTGGTCAACAAGGTGAAACCCTGTCTCTACCAAAAATACAAAAATTAGCTGGGCATGGTGGTGCGCGCCTGTAGTCCCAGCTACTCGGGAGGCTGAGGCAGGAGAATTGCTTAAACCCAGAAGGCGGAGGTTGCGGTGAGCCGAGATCATGCCGTTGCTCTCCAGTCTGGGTAACAACAGCAAAACTCCATCTCAAAAAAAAAGAAAAAAAATGCTAATGAATTGATATGGTAGATGGCCCCAAAATTCATTTTCTTTTTTTTTTTGAGACAAAGTCTCACTCTGTTACCCAGGCTGGAGTGCAGTGGCGTGACCTTGGCACACAGCAACCTCTGCCTCCCAGGTTCAAGCAATTCTTCTGCCTCAGCCTCCTGAGTAGCTGGGATTACAGGTGCTCGCCACCATGTCCAGCTAATTTTTGTATTTTCAGTAGAGGTAAGATTTCACCATGTAGGTCAGGCTGGTCTCGAACTCCTGACCTCAGGTGATCCGCCTGCCTCCACCTCCCAAAGTGCTGAGATTACAGGCATGAGTCACCACGCCTGGCCCCAAATTCTGTTTTAAACACAAGCTAGAGTCAATGTCCACACTGGAAGTCATTTTCAGGGGGGAGATCAGAAAGCCGCTGGGGAGGTAGCAACTTGGAAGCAAAGTGACTGACATTTTAGAGCAATTGATAACTGGGTTTCCCCAGAGACCAGCTGCAGGTGGAAGGAGCCGAAGTGGTTCCTCTCATTGTTCTCCCTGCTTGGGCACCAGGCTGGAACCCTCTGGGCAGCTTCTCAACTCAACATGTCTTGCTGATCTATTAAGTTGAACATTAATCATTAGCAAAGCTCATCTTCCTTCCCTGAATTTAATTTCATTAGTTACACTTTCTTTCCCTATTAGAACAGTCTCTGATGCATTTGCTTAGAAGGCAAATGGGCATCGACCCTGTCCCCCACCTCTCCCGGATGGAGACTTTTCTGTAATGGCACAGACAATTGTCAACATGTCAGGTCAGGCTGGTTGACCTGGATGCAATCAGAACACAAATCTTTTCTTCTGGACCCTCAGGAACTCTCTCTAAGAAAATCAGGGCCACTGCGGTTTTGTTACTGGAAAGGGGTTTCAATCCAGACCCCAAGAGAGGGTTCTTAGATCTTGCACAAGAAAAAATTGGGGGCAAGTCCAGTGAGTAAAGCAAAAGCCAGTTTATTAGAGAGTGTGGGAATAAAGTAAGGGCTACTTCATAGACAGCGCAGGGCGCTCCCAAAGGCAAGAGGAGGAACGCATCCATCTTAGCTGAAAAGCTTGTTTATGTATAGAATAACAGAGCGAAAGCCACGGCGGAGGTGCTCCACTGCCAGGGCTGTGTCAAAGGATTGCTCATCTTTGTGTAACTACCATCTTCACAAGAATCTTTATCTTTAAAGCGAAATTGATTCTTAAACTAAGAATGCTTTTGTTCTTAAGATATCAGGATATTAGGACATTTTCTGGGTCTGTTAAGTCTTGGGTCTGTTTGGTCAACATGGATTCAACTATTCCTTTAACCATAAACCTAATGTGGCTGAGAATGCCTAACCTCCCGGAACAGCCCAGCAGATCTCAGATTCCATTTATCCAGTCCCTATTCAAGATGGAGTCACTCTGGTTCAAACACCTCTGACAGTTTTAAACCAAAAAACAGGATGCCCAATCTCTGGGCTCCATTGTCTTAAAAAAAAATGCAAAAAACACATCAGGAAACCACAGGCAATGGAGTCCCAGGATTGCCACTTTAGACCTGAACAGACGCTATAACAGGACAGGGGTCAGTGCCGCTGGAGAGGAGAAGTGTGAGTTTTACATGAGGGAGCCCCAGGAGAAAGTAATTTCTTCATCCGTCTGCTGGTGCATCCATGATTTGATACTGTTCTTGCAGGCTGTGTACCAGGTGTGGTGAGGGTTCAAGGACATCCAAGGTGAGTGTTCTGGCCCCCTTGACTTCCTCGCTCCCTCCCTTGATGAAATATTTGAGTGCCTTATCCACCCCTACTACTGTGCCCAGTGCTAGGTATCCAGTGATAAGGTTAAAACAACAAACTTCCAAACCAGTGAGGAGAACAGTTTGGAGGTTCCTCAACGAACTAAAAGCAGGTTGGGTGTGGTGGCCCATGCCTGTAATCCCTTCGGAGGTTGAGGTGGGCAGATCACCTGAGGTCGGGAGTTCAAGACCAGCCTGACCAACACGAAGGAAACCCCGTCTCTACTAAAAATACAAAATTAGCCAGGTGTCATTGTGGGCTCCTGTAATCCCAGCTGCTCGAGAGGCTGAGGCAGGAGAATCACTTTAACCCAGGAGGGGGAGGTTGTGCTGAGCCCAGATCATGCCTTTGCACTGCAGCCTGGGCAACAAGAATAAGAGAGTGAGATTCTGTCTCAAAAAAAAGAAAAGAAGAAAAACAAAAACTACAAGTAGAGCTACCATATGATCCAGCAATCCCACTGCTGGGCACAGACTGCAAAAAAAGACAAAACAGTGTATTGAAGAGATCTCTTCACTCCCACGTTTATTGCAGCATCGTTCACAATACCCAAGATTTAGGAACAACCTGTCCGTCAACAGATGAATGGATAAAAACATGCGGTCCATAAACACAAGGGAGTGCTTACTATTTAGCCACTGAAAAGAATGAGATCCTGGGCTGGGCACGGTAGCTCATGCCTGTAATCCCAGCACTTTGGGATTTGATACTGTTCTTGCAGGCTGTGTACCAGGTGTGGTGAGGGTTCAAGGACATCCAAGGTGAGTGTTCTGGCCCCCTTGCCTTCCTCGCTCCCTCCCTTGATGAAATATTTGAGTGCCTTATCCACCCCTACTACTGTGCCCAGTGCTAGGTATCCAGTGATAAGGTTAAAACAACAAACTTCCGCCCAAGGCGGGCGGATCACAAGGTCAAGTGATCGAGACCATCCTGGCCAACATGGTGAAACCCCGTCTCTACTAAAAATACAAAAATTAGCTGGGCGTGGTGGCATGAGCATGTAGACCGAGCTACTCAGGAGGCTGAGGCAGGAGAATTGCTTGAACCTGGGAGGCGGAGGTTGCAGTGAGCGGAGATCGCGCCACTGCACTCCAGCCTGGCACCTGGTGATGGAGTGAGACTCTGTCTCAAAAAAAAAAAAAAAAAAAGAATATGATCCTGTCATTTGCAACCACATGCATGGAAGTGGAGGTCATGCTGTTGAGTGAACTAAGCCAGGCACAGAAAGACAAACTTCACATGTCCTCACTTATTTGTTGGGGCTAAAAATGTAAAACAATTGAATTCACAGCAGGGAAGGGTTGGGGAGAGGGGAGAGTGTGCATGGTTAAAGGACACAAAAACACAGTCAGAAGGAATAAAATCTAGTATTTGATAGCACGATAGGGTGACTACAGGTAATAGTCATTTATCGTACATTTAAAAATAACTAGGGGTGTATCGCTTATAACACAATGAAAGTCAAATGCTTGAGTGATGGATACCCCACTTACCCTGATGAGATTACTATGCACTGCATGCCTGTATCAAAATATCACATGTCCCATAAATATACACACCTACTCTGTACTGCAAAAATAAAAAAGTTAAAATTTAAAAATAAATAAATGTCAATGAGCTTAACTTTCCATGAAAATAAATAAATATATATGTATGCGTGTGTGTGTGTGTGTGTGTGTGTATATATATATATATATATATATATATATATATTTTTTTTTTTTTTTTAAACAGTCAAGTCCTTTTTCCCAGGAGGCAGCCCAGCTGGGGTGGAAACCAACAGAAAGAAGCACAGTGCACAGTGCACATAGATCCACACACTGCTGAGAGCTTCAGGGAGAACAGAGCGCCTGAAAAAGGCAATTAGGGTTGGGATAATAAATCCAGTTTGAGAAAGAAGGGCGCTCCACACAGGTGACAGGGAGGGCGTGCGCGCAGGGAGCCGGCCGTCTTACAGTCTTGGAGGAATTACGGCATC